CTCTGCCCTCCTGCAGTAGCCAGAGTCCCCTGGGCTCCCCCTGGGTGCCAGACTCAAGCTGGTAGGGGGCTTAGCCCTAAACTCTGGAGGGCAGGGGGAGCTGTCTCAGCTCAGTGGGCAGCTCTGTCCCAGCTGGAGCAAGAACAGGCTGGACCCCAACTTGGGGGCAGGGAGAGAGCTGTCCCAGCTTCCAGGCAGCTGCTCCCTATCCCATAGAGATCGGAACCTGTCCCAATCCCCACGTGGCTAGGAGAGCTGTCCTGGCTTCCGGGCACCTGCCTTCCAGCCCTGTTGAGACCAGGAGCTATCCACCTGGACCTGATCTCCACATGGCTAGCAGGCAGCATCCTGCCAAGCTAACATAACTCTCCCTACCTCCTGCAGCTCCCTGCTACCTAGTCAGCATCTACATGTGTGGTACAACACATTAGTTAATACACTGTTTTTCTAGTAGCAGTATCTATAGGTACTTGAAAGTGGTGCATTCGACTAATTAATATACTGTGTAGTAATTGCTGTGCATGTGTAGACAGTGACGCTTTACATAGTATAAGGCACAGTAAAGCATTTCGTGTAGATGCACCCAGCGAGTAGCACCTTACTCTGAAAGTACTGCCATTGATCGAACAAGCTCAAAGAGCACATTTAATTATTTTAACACCATTTGTTGTTATTATTATTATTATAATATCCTTGAAGTGACTAGAAGACCTGCTGTGTGGAACCATAATGAACACACAGTAGAAAGATGGACCTTTCTTCAACTCTTTGCAATCTATGGTCCCAGTCCTGAAAACACTTATATGCTTATCTGCATATATTTCCATTGAAGTAACTTGTGGTAGTAAAGGGAATAATAATTATCATTTGCAGCACTGGAGTCTAAACAGACCTATCTTTGGCTTCTGAGTTCACACTTTAAATATAACATTAAACACATTTCTCATTTTTCTTTCTTAGCAGCTGATTTTTACTTTTATCTATGTTTTCTTAAGATCTACACTCTATTAATGGAAATTCTGTTTAATAGAAGTGGATGATTATACAACTATTTATTTAGACAATTAAAAATGCCTGTTAACATTTTTAAAAATTATTTTAGGAACCAAACCAATTGTAGTAGATAGTTTACTGCAAAACAACCAAACAACCCACCCCCCAAAATTACACAAACCCTGATTATGAAATCTGATGCATATGGATAGATCCTCGATTTTGAACAAGGATAGGACCATTGCTTGGAACAGAAACAAATCTAAAATGGTTTGACTTAAATATTTAAGATTAGGAAAGTCACAGTAAAAAGTGGCTCCTTAATTTAGTGAGAGAACAATAATAAATCAGATAGCAATACATATACAATACATTTTAAAAATGCCTTGTATGGAGGACATACTGGAGCTGTGAAATTCAGTGTTACAATAGGTTACCAAGTTAAATTATATAGCTGAATTGGGCACCTATACACGAGCCCAACACTTGCTCCAACACGTTCTAATTAGAATGCATCAGAACAGACTTGACTAATCCATTAATGGCAACAGTGCACAAACTGAATTGCCAATGAGCTGGATTGTGACACTTAGACATGCTCCTCCAGCTGAAGAATGTTAATGGTGATTTTGTCAATATAGATACTTGCAAAGAAAACTTGAAAGTGGGATAGCGGTTGTTCTCTTGGATCTCTAGGAGGCAAGGACTGCTACTGTTGTCAACTCTTTGAAGAGAGTGGTGAGCTCCTAGCAAAGGGAAACGGGGCTGCTAATAATTAATTAATCAAATCTGCTGGAGCATGCTAATTAGCACAGTCCAGAAGTCTCAGCATCACATGTATTCAGAGTTTCTATGTTTCAAGATGGTGGTGGGAGTGCTTTAACTAAACCTCATAGAACAAGCTTTAAAGCACTTCCACCACCATTTTGAAGCATGGGACACTGAATACACCAGATGATGCAGGTACTTTAATTAAAGTGGCTCCCAGGAGCTGCTCTAATTAAAGTACCCCCTCCCCCAACCCTGGAGCACATGTAAAGACGTCCAAATGATCACCTATAATGGGCCAAATCCTTCTCCTTTTCCAAATCCTTCTCCTCGTATTCATGCACATGGTTCTCTTGATTTCAATACGTCTACTTTGAGTGAGACAGCTGGACTCAGTACAATAGTTGTATGATAACTATGACAGACAAAATAACAATAAAGGTGATCATAGTCTGCTCTGACTATATGGCATAGAATTTAACACAGGTGTAATTTGTCTTTGTTGAGTATTGCGCCTGGTTTACAACCCCCATCAGAAGCCCTCTGAAATGTCTAGAAATTATAGGAAGAAAACCACAAAAAAAGCAATGTTTGACTTGTTTGTGTGGGTTTTTTAAACTGAGCTCTTCTTACATAAATATATAAATGGCTTCCATTTTCTTCACCAATGATAATAATTATACATTATTAGTATAAATTACAAGCTATATTTCAGTCTGGACTGAAATTGGCTATGCATTTCTAAGCCTTTCAGAATAACCTTTCTAAGCCTTTCAGTTTTCCATAGAGTTCTATAATATGGAAACTTCGTGTAAGAATTTTTATCCCTTCTAATCCTTTCATAAAGGAAAATGACTAAAATCAATCACATATGAAAAGGGAATCCTAAAGTCAAGAATACTACAGGTTCCAATGACTGTTGGTAAAACTTGAAGAAAACTGAATTGGCAGTGGGCTGGATTGTGACACTCTAGGCATGTTCCCCCAGCTGAATAATGCTAGTGGTGATTTTGTTGACATAGATAATTGGAAAGAAAAGCTTGAAAGTGGGATAGTGGTTGTTACACATGCCTCTCACATCCCTAGGAGACAAGGACCTCTACTCTGTTCCCAGCTCTTTGAAAAGGGCAGAGAGCTCCTAGCAAAGACCCTGCTGCTATCCCTCTCTCTACATGAGAAAAGACCTCTGCATGGAAAACATGTACTCTGCTATCCTACCTACTGCTACCTCCCTCAGGGACACATTACTGCTCTCCCTTCTAAATGTTAATGGCAGTGTGGGTGACTTCATTCTGATCACAGACAACATTTGAGAGAATGAAAGTTTTCATCTCACTTCTGGGCATATGAATGGTTGGGAGGGCTGCTACTTTATCTGCTTGGTGCAGGGGTTCTTGCATTGAGGGAAATGGGCGGAGGGGAGAAGGTCCTTAGGTACTAAAGAGGGCTTGACAGTATGGGGGCAAAGGGTTGCTGCTGTCTTGATGGTATGGGTAGGCTTGCTGCTGTCATCCCACCTTGGTTTCCATTGGGTGTGTTTGGTTCCTACAGAGTCCTCTACACAGTTGGGTGGAAACTGAGCCCTTCCTTCTGCTGGATGGACCCAAGTGCACTTGGAAATAAGTAGTGAAGAAATGGAGGATTTCCTCAGTCTGCCCAAAAAGGGAATAGTGCCAGTCCAGAAAACAGTTCTTGCTGCTCCAGCATTATGCCCCAAGTATTGTGAGGGCAAGGAGGGCTGGGCCAGATGTTGGGGATAGGGTCAAAGGGGCCCCTGCTGGGTAATGCTTTCTGCCTGAGACTGTTTAATGTTTGAAGGTGCAGGCAGAAGTGCAGCTTGGTGTTGTAACTGACAAGGCTTTGCAGGAAGCGCTCTGAGTTACAACAATCCCCCGGACCAAACAGAAGCTCACTGTTGATTCCAGGGGGGAGGGGAATCTGCCTGCTGGCTGGGAGCCTTCAGGATTTCCCCTAGCAACAGCCTCTTCTCCCCCCTAGCCTGTCCCCGTTTTCAGAATGGGAGTGGGGAATGGGAGGGGAGGGAGCTTTTAGGTGTTCCCCAGCTGGCACTAGAAAGTGGGGTGGGTGAATTGGAGTCCCCTCCCCACCTGGGGGTGTGATGAGGTGGGCTCCATCCTACCTCCCAGTGGGGGCTGAGAAAACCCCAGACTAAACTCCCTCCCCCCCCTTCTAAAAACAGCATGAGACTGGGAGACAGTGTAGACAGATGTTACAGAAGATGCTTTGTTTTGAAATATCTTTATCTGAATTCTCATGCAACGAGGGTTCAGATTGTTGCCCACCGGGCCATTTTTGAAGTGGTCTGCAGCCATGCACTTGTGTTTTAGTCATGGCTATGAACCGTTTTCTGTGGACAGATCGGGCAAACATTGTCACTTCCATCTGCACCCTGAAAGGTGGAGCCACATCTAGGTTGGAGAAAAGGAGAAGAAGGAACATGACTCGGTTCTCCCTTCCAAGCTCTGAAAAATTGCTAGGGGAATGTGACTGCTCTTCCTTGCTGCAGAGCACAGGCCTCCTGACAGCAGATTTAAGTAGACACCAAGGAGGCAGCGGTGAAACCTGGGGAGGGGGGAAGGGGGAATCCCTTGCTTATTGTGAGGAAATGACAGTGTCCCTCCTGTGAAGCTGGCTAGGCAGCTCTGCCTGTGGTTCTCATAGCAGACCTCTGGCTGCCAGGTTCTGAGCCAGGGTGGCAGGGAGGGCCCTGCCTCTGCATTCAGCCCTTGCCTCCGCTCCAGGTGCAGCAGGTCTATGACATGTGCAATGTGCCTGGGTCAGGATCCTCACCCTAGCGCTGCAGCCCGGCAACGCTGGCTTGCCGACCCCAGCCACTGCCCAGCGGGGCTCTGCGGGGAGCCTGCCGCCCGGGCGCACTCGGAAAAGCTGTGGCAAAGAAAAAAACAAACAAAAAAAAGAACAAGAGCAAGGGAACACGATCCCTGCCCCCTCCTGGTGCATCATCTGCCTCTGATGGTGTTTCCCCACCTGCGCCCGAGACGGGGCATGCCTCGCTCCTGACTCAGTGGCCGCCTCGTGCTCTCAAGTTCAAGTCGTGGAAACAGGTGCCCCGCACCTCTTCCGCCCCTGGCGCGCGCCTGCATCGCCGCCCCCGAGCCCCTGGCGCGGGGCAACCCGGGCAGCAGCGGGGACTCCTGCTGGTGCATCTGGGTGCAAACAGGCGCCTCGCGGAGGGGGGGGCGGCTTTTTCATCCCCCCCATCATCGCACTTCGACTCCAGCTCTGGATTCGGGCTGCGGGAGAGCCTCGTCATTTCCGCCGGCTCCAGCTCTGCCCTGCGTGCGCGCGTGTGTGAGAGGGAGACAGAGCCGAGCGCGCGGCGGCTGCAGGAGCGGAGCTCGCCTCGGCGGATGCCAGAGCCGGCGTCCCGCGCGCGGCGCGGAGCAGAGCGCCACAGAACGGAGCGTTCCAGCGCCGAACCTTCGCGCCCGCGGCGTTCGGAGCCGCCGAGCTGAGTGTTCCACAAACGAACCTTCGCGCCCGCAGCGTTCCGAAGCGTTCAGAGGAGCCTGCAGCCGCAGCCGCGCCGCCTCCTCGTGGTCAGTGGGGGCGGGAGACGTCGGAGCGTGCAGGAGCAGCAGCAGCCGCCTCCTCCTCCTCCTCCTTCCCCCAGCAACCGAGGCAGCAACATGAACTGAGATCCCGAGCAGAGGCAGAGCGAGCCGAGAGGCAGCGAGCAACAGGGAGAGGGAAGCCCAGCGCCGCCATCCTCGCCCGGGGAAAAGCCTCACGGAGGAGCACAGCGGCCGCCGCAGCCTGCGGACAGCGTCCCTCGCTGCCCTCCCCTCCACCCCCGATCCCCTCTCCCCAGCCCCCCGGGGAGCTGTCGCACCGCCTCGGCCATGGCGCTCATTATGGAGCCCGTGAGCAAGTGGTCCCCGAGCCAGGTGGTGGACTGGATGAAAGGTGAGCGGGATCCAGGCGTGGGGACTGGGCAGAGAGCAAGGGCGGGTGGGCGAGGACCCCCCTTCCCGCTTAGCAGGTGCGGCTGCCGGGAGGCAGGATGTGCCCGCCCCGGGCGCGGATGGAGGCTCCGGGCAGCCCCGGGGGGAGCAGGGCTGTCCTCGGCCAGGGGCGGAGGTGCCGGCGGGGCGGGCTCGGCATCCCCGGGCTTACCCCAGCGCCTTCCCCGCCACCTGCTCCCAGGGACCTGCCCCCGGGCTCCCAAGCCTGCTCGGGAGGTTTTCGCCTTGCGTCTGCCCTCCTCCGCGGGCTCTGAACGGCTCATTGCTGCTGCGATGGGGACAGAAGTAGTGTTCATCATGTGCCTTCTAACATCCCCATCTCTCCTTATGTTCAGAGGCAAGCCGCCGGACTATTAATTAACACCCCCCCCCTAATAAAAAAGACCCTCTCCAGGGTTTATTAACCAGAAATGGCTCTGTTTTAAATCTCTCTGCTGGTCCAGTTGAGAAGGAAAAGCCCTCTCAGGTTGGGGCTCGGGCTGTTCCTTGGCAGACGCAACGTGCAATGAGTCATAAAATAAAAGTTTAACGTCACACCGGACGCTGGTTAATAGAGATGACATGGTTTGAAGTGCAGGCTTTAATCCCCCACCCCCCCTTTTGTGTGTGTGTGTTTTTATTTTGTCCTCCGAGGATTAAAATGTTAAGCAAGATCAATCAGCCTGCAGAGATGTAATGAGTGTGTTCCTGGTCAAGTGGTGTTTCATCCCTTGGGAGGATCACCAGAAACCTTCCCTGCCTCCCTGCTTAAGTTGAATGAAGCATTGGAGATCAATACCTTTGTGATATACAGTTTATTCCAGCTAGTAAAGCAATGCCCATCTAAAACCCTAGATGTTAGTTCAGTTTCTGAAGGGGTCTGGTCCTAAGTTAACATACATTAATTACCCTGACCAAAACCTATATTTACCTTGACCCTCAGCCCTCTTCTTCCTTCCCCCCATAAGTTAGGAGGATAAAAAATGAGCCTTGCAGAAATGCTTTCATGTGATCTTCTGCACAGGCATAGTTCTAATACTCTGAAAGTTTGAATTTTTAAAGCTAGACTGCAGCTGTGTTTTGAATAAGTCACCATCTAGTATTATGTATCTCCCTATAAAGGCAGCATGACTGGATGAATATGGCTTTTGAACAACTGCTACATTGTGGGAGTTCTTCACAGCATGCTGCACTCTACTAATGTGACAGTTTCATCATCCTTAAAATTTCAGGCATATAGCATATGTTTTCAGTTATTCCACCCTAGCATTTATAGGCATAGAGTTATAATTACATGCAGTAGACATATATTTCTTGCTGTTTCTGACGTCTTCTCAATCCACAGGACCTTCAGAAAATATACATGCACAACATGGTCCTTCATCTTTTAAGAAATTAGAGTAACAAACATTTTTAAAGTTTTTGAAAGAGAATACAAATGATCAGCACTGACCGAATGCACCTGTGTTCTGCAAACTGCTTCATGAGCCCTATTTGCTTTTAAAATACTAATTCCAAAAGATAGTTTCTTATAGACGGTTGGGAGCTATCTCATACCAATGTCTGAGAATTGCATGGGAAATTATGAACCTCCTCTATTGCTAATGTTTAAGGCCTCCTTTTTGCCCTACATTTTCAGGGGTGTTTGTGGCATTGCCATCTTTGTAGGTATTTTTTCTAATCCTATTCCAGAAATGTAATAAAACTAATGTTTTGTTTCAAAAATAACATCAAGGTAGAAGTATCCATTACATATACTCTTGCAGATACTGCACATATGTAGAATCAGTTATTAAAAGAATGCAAGCCTGTTCATGACTAACGTAATAATAGCATTCAAAACAGTAAAGCCATTTAGCAGGGTACTTGTTGCTGGAAACCTGTAGCTCTTACTATGTGATGTTTGGTGTGAGATATCAATGTATATACAAGCTTGGCAAACTGAAACACAAACTGTGTTTTTGATTTCTACATTTCAAAACTTGTTTTTAAAAACTACCTAAATTTTTTGGCAATACTTCCAAACTCTGCCATTGTCTTAAGAACTTAATCCTCAGTGAACGAATGAATATATATATATATATATATATATATATATAGTATATGTAGCTTCAAGTATTTTCTGTCTTTCTATGTACTTTGCACCTGAGTTGAACTTTCTTATGAAAGAAGATTTCTGCATTCGATTAGAATTGTCTGTAGAGAAAAACCTAGATAAGATGCACAACAAGATAGCCTTTGCCCTACAAATTAGCGCCATAATATAGTGATGTGATTTTTGTGTTGCATCTGACAAATAATGACTTGTTAAAGTTTTGAATGAAACAGAGTAATGGAAAAGGGTAAGTGGCCACACACAATTCCCATCATTTATGTTAAAAAGTACTGAGAATTATCTATTGATGAAATCTAATACCTGCTTCACCCGATCTGTTTTCTTGTTGCTTTAAAACACAAACGTCTAACCAAGAAGTCTTTGAGAACATCTTGGGGAAGTGGCTTATCTTTTAAAATAAGAGAAGTAAAGTGTGAAATGAATATGTCCCTCTGCTTTCAGAACTTTCAGTGAAATATTGGAGAAAATAGATTGTGTGTCCTCGTACCAGCAAGGTCAGTTCTGGGCTGCGTTACTTGTGATGGATCTTTACTACTGGAAATTAAGTGTTATCGGAATAGCTTGTTTAGTGACCGGGATCTTCAGTAAACTATAGAACTGAGCTGGGCTTTAAAACCTTGCTTTAAATAGGTGTCCTTTTATGTAATGTGTCAATTCTGAGTAGCTGCCCAAAATGCTACTTAGAGCTACTTCAGAGTAGGTTTCAGTGTTCAAAGTATTTTTTTTTTTTTTTTTTTTTGTTTTAAAATTTTTTTTTTAAATTTTTTTTTTTTTTTTTTTTTTTGGTTTGAAATTCTGCTGTTAACATTGCTTACTATTATCTGAAAATAAGGGGAAATGAAACACTTCAGTTTTTATTGCTTTCGGTGTTTGTGTGATGATGGTTTTACTGGCATGAACTGAACGTTTGCAGTAAAAGGCCCAATCTGGAATTCTTTATCCAGGGAAAAGAGCCATTACATCAGTGACATTTTGCCAGAGTAAAGAATAAAGGATTTGGACATGCATTGTTTTTCTCATTATTAATATAAGTCAAACATTTTAAGCTTAGTAGTGCTATATAAATATTTCAAGGAGAGGACCCATGCAATGAATAGGGATGAGATGCATGGATATTTTGTTGGATTAATGCAATTTCTTAAAACATGATTTTAATTTTTAATATACGATAGGTTTGAAATGGTGTCAGCTGTTGTCAGCATGGGTATTTTTGTATACTTCAGTTACCTCATCTACAGTAAATTGTCTGACATGGAACTGTCAGATAAGCAGCTGGATTGGCTTTCCTCTGTCTTCAGTACACAGTACATTATCTTGTACAGCAAAATGGGAAGAAAGGAGTATTTTAATACATTCAAATGTTGCATTTTCTTGCTTTTCATATATTTAATTAAATGAAAAGCAAAATATGCAGCATTTGAATGTATTAATATACTCCTTTTAATTCCTTTTGAAGGCCCTTCATGGATCACTGAACTGATGTCAATCAACTCCTCTTCTTTTCATAGGATTCCTCTGAAGAATTGCAAGACATTCACACATTCTACTGCTAATCATTATGGAGAGTCATAGTTTGAGTTTATTTGAGAAGCAGAGGTGTCAGATACATTTCAGATTTTCTGAGGCATTGGGAAAACTCAAGGACAAGATTTAAGATACTTTTCCTAACTCCAAAATAAAATGCCTTTAATGGATTCTTATGTATTTGTTAGCTCCTGTCCCCTACCACATAATATCTGTAGTTTGATAATTAGCTTGATTTACTATGATGGACATGGATTTTTGTTTTTTTTTTTTAAAGATGACTTTATTTTTAATGTAATGCCTCTAATACTCCTTAACATAGAATTCCAGACAAAATCCATTTTGAAAAATCTAAACTAAACCACTGATGGATTTACATTTTTGTTTTCTTTTATATTCAGCCAAAATAGACAATACATAAACTATTCAACCGTTACAAGTAAAGCTGCATGTCCTTAATGAACAGAAGCTAAAATCTGATGTATTGGGCTTCTCTAATGGCTTTTTATGCTATAAACTGTTTTCTCCTTCATGGTATACCTTCTTTATAAGGAGTGGGGAGATGGATAGATGGATGTGATAGGAAATAGTAGCATTGAAGCAGAAGGAAAGCATATGCCCAAAATCAAGA